AAGAAATCCATGCGATTCCATAGCAAATCCATAAGAATCCTAAGGACATCCAAAGGAATCCGAAGGAAACCCATAGGATGCAATAGGACATCGATAGGATCTCTTGGGAGATAAATCGGGCTCCTAAGGATATCCATAATATGACTTATGAAATCTGGCGGGATCTTCAGAAAATCAACCGGATTCCTTAGGAAGTCTATCGGAAGATTTGAGAAATCTATCGGGTTCTTTGGGGAACCTAGCGGAATCCTGAGAAAATCCAGAATGCATTCCTCAGGAATTCCATGGGATTTCTGACATTATCTGTAGGAATCCTTTTGGAAATTCATAGGATGTCTTAGGACATCCACAGGATTCCTCAGGAAATCCGTAGGAATCCTGTGGACGTTCATAGGACTCCCTAGGACATCCATAGGATCCCAGGGGAAATCAATCGAAATCCTGAGGAATCCTCGCCACTCAACATAAGAAGAGACAGCTTAGACTCAACTTTCCCCGTGATAATCAGTTTCGGCCTTGCCGCCTTTATTCCCTAACCAAACCTGTATTGGCCCGGGATAGTCAACTCTCAGGTGGGGGAGGGGGTGTCCAACGATTATCCGGGGGTGGGGGTTAGCAAGACTCGCGATTGGTGAAACCGTCGTTTGAAGTCATCGTCGCCAGTACTGGGTTGCATTGCCTGCATGATGGAGTGCGGCGTGTTGGGAGGCGACATGCCGATCCGGGTCGGCTGGTCTGTCCCGTTCTCGTGCCACATACGCCGGCGGTCCTCGGCATTAAGCAAACCAGGGCCAGTGATGATGTCCATGGCTTTGCTGTTTTTGAAGCCCTTCTTGACTTCCGCCGGCCAAACTCGATGTATTGAAGAGTTGGAAGATCCCTTCACGTCTAAGCTGGCCTTTCGCCTTGTAGATCACGACTGTCACTCGTCAGCGCTGTCGTCGTGGTGGTTGCTTGAATGTATCAGCTTCTGTAACGAGCATTTCTGGCACTGCCTCGAGGCAAGTGTCCACGTTGTCGCCGAGGATCTCTTTCGCAGCTTCCCGAGTGTCGTGTCCGACGCAGGTGGCGGCAGCTCAGCTTATGAGGGATTCGGTGGCTCGTTGAGGTCACCAGCTGATCCTGCTGGCGCCTCTGGTATGGTATTCAGTGCTTCCTTTGGCTCGGGGGTCTGAAGGTCCTGACCCGTTCGAACTACGGCGACGTCGAGGTTCTGAGCATTTCGGGCCGTGGCGACGTCGAGGTCCCGACCTTTTCGAGCCGTGGCGACGTTGAGGTCCTGGCTAGGTCGAGCTGCGGCGGCGTTGAGCTGACAGTGCAGGTCAGCAGTACCTCCAGCATGTCATCGTGGACCTTGGCGCTGTACACCGTAGGCGATGCTTAAGAAAACCTAAGTTTTCGGCGAGAGTCTCGATTATTCTTAATGTTTCAATGTAAATCTCAAGATTTTGATAGAAGTTCTGGGTTTTTATTCAAATTCTGAGACTATGAATTTCTTAACCCATGATTTCTTAAGTATTTCGCAGGGTGTAGATCTCCACGCCGTCCCTGTCGATCGTCGGCCCACCCGTGACGTTGAAGCCCACGAAAGAGAAGTCTTGCAGAGGTGACACGTAGTGGCTTCTCGGACCCACCTCGAGCGCTTTGGCCGAGCCGTCGTCGATGGAGAGAAGGTCGTTCTCGAAATCCAGATGGGCCCTCATCGCTTCGGGGGCTTGGGGATCAGGAGCGGAGCCATGCCGGGAACCAGACTCCATCGCGGTAGCACGTTTCGCTTGTGGATCCCTGTGGGCCGGACTGCAGCAGCGATTGATTACTGTGCGCCATCGCTGCCAAAGCTGAACTTCATTTTCGGAGACCGCACGTCGATCACGGGCTTCACTCGGCGGCGAGCCCGGGGGGAAGTGAGAAGGGGCGGGCCTTCTCAGAAGGCTCGGAAGCCCTCCGGCCTTGGAGAAGTTTCGTGAGCCTTCTTCGAAGACGCAGAAATCCTTTTTTCCGAAGGCGCGAGGGCTTCTGAGAGGTCCCGCCGCCCTCTGAGGGCGCCTTCTCCTTCTCACTTCCCCCCTCGCTCGCCGCCAAACGCAGTGCCAGTGCAAGCCATGGCCTTCGCGCAGCCGGGAGCGGCCATGCCACTGCCAGGAGCCGAGGCCGGCAGAACGCCGGCGGACCTGGTTCCAGGGCAGCGAGAGCCTGGCGCTGGCGCCCCGCGTCGTCCAGCACACCCACGGAGCCAGGTGCGGTCGGGACGTGTAGGCACTCGTTGACCTCGGTATAGTCTTGTCATCTGCGACTTAGCCGACGAAGAAGGTTGGGAGTCGGGGCGTTGGCAGCATTTGAGCTGGCGCTTCCTGTGTCCGTGTATTGACTCTCGACGCTCTCTCTTGTAGTGGCCACGACTGTCATTGTTGTGTCAGCGGGCTCTCAGCCTCAGTGCCTTGAGGTCGGGCTTGACGAAGCCCCGGCGAGCTTCACCTTGCCATGCATCTTCCGCTGCTCC